AGCTGTGAGCAGCCTTGAAAAGCAGGGAAGTCTGATGGCATCCTATGAAAATGCCCAGTGGATTCTCATTCTCACCCAAAATAAAAGCGGTTTAGGATATTCTCACCGAGTTCAGGCAACCTGGCACACAGCAAATTTATTTGGGAGGACCCTGGGACGCCTCAAGGAGAGGTGTCATTTTCCAGTTGCTGAAGGGAGCATAACTAGGGACTATGCAGACTTATTTAAACGCTGTGGACAGAGATAAGCAATTGTGAGTGAAAGAAAAGTCACAAGGGTGGCTGCCCCAAGCCCCAGCTAGGACAGGTGTTAACACAGCTGACATCCCTCTGGGGTAATTCCTGGCTCAGAGGCCAGAGGTGATTTCTCCAGTTACTGGTCCTACAGACACAAAGAAAGTCTCCTTTCTCTGTCTCTACTCCACCTCCAACTCCTACTGGAAGTGGCAGGGGTGGGGATGGGGGACCGCACTGGCTCCTCACACTACTGGCCTCAGCACCATCCAATATGACAGGCTCAGCCGGCGGCTTCCTCTCCCAGCCGCTGTCCAGTCTGCAACTGCACGGCCGAGCACTGCGGAACCCCCAGGGGGCGCAAGTCACAGCACTGGCACGGATGTGTCCGGTTTACTTAAAAGAAAATTCATGGCACTTGAAATCAGTGTCTTGAAAGATGGGTGACTTTAACTAATTCCCGTAAAGATAGCTTTTAGGCTAGCAGTGGCCTTGATCCAACTAATCCATCATCTCTGGGTGACCCATTCTTAGTATAGGGCCCAATTTCCTCCATCGATCGGTGTATTTCTAAACCCTATCAGCCTTCCCTGATCTCTAGTCCATAATGCTCTTCATAGGCTACCTGCAAGAATGAAATGCCCCTCATCTCAAGTAATATATGGCCCCTGAATTAGGTAATCTCAGTGTCAAATGAGGTCTTGTAGGAACCTTCAGTTATTGTATAAACCTAAATAACGGGAGGGGTCAGCAGACTTTTTCTTGTCACATATTTTAGGCTTTGTAGGCATACAGTGTCTGTTGCAACTTCTCTATTCTGTCTTGCAGTGCAAACGCAGCCATAGATGATACATAAAGAATGAGCATCGCTGGGTTCCAATAACAGTGTATTTATGCACACTTACATTTCATATGCTCTTGATTTGTTTCTACCATTTAAAGATATAAAAACTATCGTTAGCTTACAGGCCATATGAAACAGGGAGCAGGCTGGATTGGGTGCTTGGGTACTTTGCTCTGTTAGAGATGATTTATAAGATTGCCTCTGTCGACTGGAAAGCGGTATCAATTAGGTGTTCTGTCACCAAAAAGGAATTATTGGTGGCGGGAGGGGGGATAAAGGATTGCACTCCAGCCATGCAGCTATGGTCACGTGCACACACTGAATTGTGTGCCAAGACGGAGAGGTATTTATAGAGGGAGAAAAAAGAAGTTAAGGAGAGGGGTAGTTACAACCGCAGAACTCTACTGCAAATGTAGTTCTTCCTCTGGAGTGCTCCCCATAACGCAGAGTGCGAGAACTCCTCCCATCAGCTCTAGCTCCTCCCAAAGACCCTCCCGACTGGTTATGTCTGTTTAAAGTCCCTGTGAACCGTTATCACTTCCAACTGAAACATATCATGATTACATACTTAGCTTGATGAGTCCCAAATTAGTATAAGTATTAATTCCATTGATTGGGCATTTATTTTACAAAGTAAAACTGGGTGTTTCTTTTTAGGAAATACTATAAGAAAGGAGTATCTTACCCCCCAAATTCCTATCCTTTCCCCTTGGATAACAGATCAGCTCCACACCGGCTTGGGGTGTTTGCTGAGTCGGGATGTTGGCGAGGGCCTGCAGGGGGCAGCGTGTGTGGAGTCTTGTGACTCTAGTTTGGTGTAGCGTCAGGCCCTCCCCTCTGAGGCAATAACCATGGAGATCCTGGCACCTGGACATAGCGCTGGCCCTGGCCTTAGGCTCCGAGTCTGTCACTAACTTGAGCTGTTGCCTGCAACTAAGGGTCTCTCTAGGCTTGAACCACAGCGACCTCCTGCCTCAGGACACTGGTTCAGTTCTGTCCTGAACCCAGTTCAGCCTTATCAGATTCTGGTTCTCCCTATCAGAATCTATAACTCCCTTTTACACAGGGTGGCACACGTGAGCCTCCTGCCAACACAACTTCTTACTTCTAACAGACTTGATCTGCCCCACTTTCTGCCAGGCTTAAACTCGTAACTGTTCTCTGCCTGCTGCAAGCATGTCCTCCCCCCACCGAGCTTCCTCCCATGACCCAGCAGAGGAAGCTCTTCTGCCTTCAACTTCCTAAATGATCCAGGTAGGTCCTTACAACTTCCAGCGACTAACTCTTCTCTAAACCAGTCCCAACTCAAGGTGCACCTAGTAGATAAGTAGATGCTTTGAAAAAAAACTTGCTGGGTGCAGGTTGTGGGTGGGCGTCCTTTTATCTCGTCATCATGGACGGCAGGGTACACAGTGCTTGCTCAGGAAGTCGGTTCAAGAGCCAATTCCTCACCAGCAGCACAGGGCCCCATCTGAGATAGAGACAGCAATAGAGAGAGAGAGAGAGATGGGGAGAGATGGAAAGATGGAGAGATGGAGAAAGGTGGCGGTTCCATCGACTAGTGCTAGAAGCTTTGCGTACTTACAGTGAGCATCTCTTCTTCCCATTGTCAAGGTCAGGGGGCCAGTAGGGGCTTCTTTTTAAAGCAGACCTTACAGCGACTGTGTCACTTTGTGTGTGTATGTTGGGGAAGGGGCGTGAAGCTACACATCTACTTCCTAAATGCTAAGAGTCATATAAATGGGTTTTAATCCATGTCCTTTGGACAAAAGAGTCCATCGATACTTGCATAATCCGAAGACTTGCATGCCCAGTGAACATCGCTGTCATCCACTAGCTAATTAAGTCTCTTTACTGCCTACAGGCGTCTGCCTTGGTCAACACATGTGACTCATGACCTTAAATGAAAAGCTAATACGGCTTCTGAAATCCCCTTTATACCTCTTCAGGGAATCAAGTGACACCTGCAGAAAG